TAGCACAAGAAAAAAAATCTGCCTCTGCCTCCCAGCAATTTGCCTCCTGATGCAAACAGCAAGTTTCACTTTCAATTTCAGCATGGACCTCCCGATCATCAGCTGTTTCAAGCTGTAGGGATTGCCATAGCCTATTGCTGCCTCTGCAAGCTCCATTTTCTCCATTTGCTGCAAGGAGGTAAATTGCTGAGACGCAGAGGCCAAAGGGTTGGGGCCGGTGGGGCTACATGCAGTATATAAGACACACCCAAATTTTCACCCTCTTTTAGGGGGGGGGGTGCATCTTATATACTGAAAAATATTGTACTTTTTAAATCTGGGCATTAACAGAATTTAATTTTTGTTATTTTGGAAGTTCTCTTAATACATTTCATAAGAATTGAATCTATTCTCGAAGTGATAATCTATTGTTGCTCTGTTTACTGCTTTATTTGTTTTGCAATTCTGAAGCAAATCTGATGATTATTTGTTTGATATGGAGATTATTCTACAAAACCAATATAAAATGAAAAAGTAAATGTGCCATTAGCAGTACAAAAAAAGGAAGCAGGAAAACTGTAATCAAACTGAGACAAGTGAGAAATTATAATTTATTAATTGATTACTATAAAATATAATAAGAACACTTGGCACATAAGCATCATTGTGCTATGAATGTAAAGACTTTAATAAGCAAATTAATAAGCTTTTAAATACCTTCACAATTTGTATTCCCATGGAATCATCATCAGGATTACTGCGGTCGTTGAAAGTGAAACGCATAGTTTTATCCCAATCAATCGCTATACTCTTTAAATAGTGATCTGCCAAAGTGAGCCAAACCTTAAAAGATATACCACAAACAATCTTAGCTTTGCTTTTACAACTATTCAAAAAATTCTGCATATTTAATATGTTGCCATCAATTATATATAGCACAGAAGCATAAATGTGTTCACTTGCTTATTCTAAAATTAAGGAAGAGGCAGAACATTCCATGCCCCACCAGAATGAGACCAGGAATTCTGAAAATATACAGCATCTTTCTCACTTTACACTTTGTGTTTTCTATGCACAGTATTGAAGGGGTAGGAACCTAAATTAGATGGTCACATTATAGATGAATCATGTCCCTTTGCTGTACCTACCCAGCTTTAGCCTTTTCATATTGACAATGAGCTAAACTGAGCTGGAGTTATTGGAACAATGATTAGAACATGACTTTCTTTGGAAGCTGGCTCGCCTAACCACCTGACTATGATCTGGGACTTCCCTCATAGTAATAACATTTCTACCAGAAAAACCTAGGTATATGGATGGAAATTATTTGTTTACATTATTCCAAGCAAGCTGACTAGGAAACTTTGATACATATTTCATTTCATTTCATTTATTAAATTTATAGGCCGCCCAATCCCAGAGGACTCCGGGCTGCTTACAATGAAAGAAGAAAAAAAGAAAAACAAAATAAGTAAAAAAAAAATAGTTTAAAATACACAACACACCTACGTTCTAATCGGGGCTGGACCTTAACACTAAGGTCAACAGCCCCAAATAGTTTAAAATACACAACACACATACGTTCTAATCGGGGCTGGACCTTAACACTAAGGTCAACAGCCCCAAATAGTTTAAAATACACAACACACATACGTTCTAATCAGGGCTGGACCTTAACACTAAGGTCAACA